TCAAATTCGATTTGGCCACTCGCGTCCGTGTCGACTTGCAGCATGATCTCGTGAAGCTCGTCGACGGTCACATCGTCGCCCACGGCGCGCAGGATGTGCCCGAGCTCGTCCTTATCTACGTACTCCACTCAGCCCACCACCATGGCTTGTTTGGACAGCCCCACCAATCGAGTTGCTGTAATCCACGTCAAAAAAGTCAAACGCCCTGCGCAGCGAGTCCTTCATTTGCTGAAAGTACTCGGCGTCCGACTCGTTCGAGTCGGTGCTGGAATCGCGGCGATGTTTGTGCGATTTCTTCTTCGATTTGGTCTTGGCCCGCTCCTTGAACTTCCGCATGTCCGACACACTCATTCCCGATGACGGTGCGTTGGAGTCGTCGTCGTCAGACTGGTACATCACGCGCTTCATCTTCCGGGATGGTTTCCCGCGCTGGAACGCCTTGCGAGGAGAGGAGAGAACGCTGCTCGTTGACGACATCGATGCGTCGTCCGAGCCTTTGGACTTGCTATAGACGCCACGGCGTTGCAATCGTGACACAAGTGAGGGCGACTACGCACCGTGACTTGGTGGATTTCGATCGTCGCACTGGACTCGAGGTCTCGTCGGAGTCGGTCGGTTTCTTCTTTGCCTTTCGCCTGGGGGATATGAATTAGATTCAGCCCAAATCGACAGGACCAAAGTTACGGCGAGGGATGCGACTCGTCCGACCCGGCCGTCGACGACGTCCGTCGCTTCGATCGTTTGTGCTTTCTACGTAAGGTAGTTCGTTGGAGGAGAGAAGGTACCAAGGTAGGATGTCTTACGAGGTTTGCTTTTGAGGTGACGCCTTGGCATGTGCTTTGTCGTCACTCGAGTCGACAGTTTTTTTGGGTCTACACACGCTTGCAATGAACCCACATTGTTTGACGATCTCATGTACCGCTTTGCAGAACTCGTTGTCTTCGTCGTTGGGCGCTGTTTAGCCTTTTCAGGGCTGTGGCAAGTGGTTCAGAGTGTTGAAGAGGTCAGGTGCTGCCTGACGTACGATGTCTTTGGGGTGTCCGATTCACTTGGACTGCTTTCTTGCTCCTTGGTTGACTTCGAAGCTCTACTTCATGCACTCAGTCTTCCATGTTT